TGCAAGGTGGCCACCTGGGCTTCTCTTCATACTTTGTTATGGTATTATCTCTTGGATGTAGTCTCTTCTACAGATTCAGCTTTTGGTGGGAGGTTGCTTGTGAGCCAGAAAAGAGCACTGAAGAAAAGAAAGACTTGCACTTCCCACTCAGTGCTGCCAACAAGGCAAGTTGCTTTGAAGTGCACACAATGGGAACCTATGAAGACCAATTTGGTTGTGAAAGTGGATGTCACAGGGAAGTACTGCCAACCTCCACTCCCTGTGAAAGAGAGCAAAGCGGCAGCGTGCAAAGTAGCCAGAAGTGTAAAATGAACCACAGAGAACTCTGTAGGGGAAGCTGGTAAGCAGCTGGCACTCCTGTGACCCTCTGTGCTCTTCTGAGGTTCTTAATCTAGGCATGTGCTTAGAGAGGCCACCGTTGATTTCATGCAAATAACCATCTTTGGAAATGCTGAGCCAACAGTTGACAATAAAGTGTGTACAGAATTTTCAATGTATTTCAAGTATATACAATAATTCCCCAGTTGTCCAAAGAGTTCATAGAATTTTATTTTGCTGAGTTTTGAGATTGACCAGTTGAATTATAAATAAATACAAAAAGTACCTCAAGGTTGTATCCACGAAATATTTTATTAGTGTGTATCCAGTGTTATTAATCCTACCTAAAAATGTCCCATTTTACTTTTGCACTTAAAGTTAAGCTTCTTAAAAGTCTTTTAGTTTGGGGGGCATTATATCTTAAAGATTAATATAAGTACTTGAAAGTTACTCCTCTTGAAGATAAGTTTCTACATCTGGGCACACTTTTATTGTTGGATAAATTTAATGTATTTGGGAGTGAAATGTTAAATAGATGGTAGATAACTTCTTCTCTAGGACTTACACTCTAGCTCTACAATGTCAGAAATAGATTTGTAAAGATTAAGCTTCAAGGGTAAATACCTCTTGAGATTAGCTAGTTTTATGAGCTCCTGTAAAGTATTCAGACAAAGTAGTTTTGAATAGTACTATATGAGTACCATAAAGTTTTTGAACAAACCAAAAGGGTGGAGATATATATATATATTCACTTTCTGGAAACAACTGCATCCACACATGTTCCTACATTAAAATAATAAATTATTGTCATCCTATACAATGATTCTGTTTATTAATAATTAGGAAAGTGCACAAACATTTCCTGAGCAAAGAGAAGGAAACAAATTCAGAACCATTAATTCTAAAGAATGGTACTAGAGAGATCTTGCTGTTCTTCTGGAAGACCTAAGTTAAGTTCCCAGCACCCACTTTGAGCAGCTCATAACTGCTTGTAACTCCAGTTCCGGGGAATCAATGCCCTCTTCTGGCCTTGGCAGGCCATGCATGTGTGTGATGCACATACATCACTTTAAAACACACACACACACACACACACACACACACACACACACACACACACCAAAAGAATAACTCTTAAGAAAGATTAACCATTCTAGATGTGATTAATGTATGCAGGTTCAAGCATGGTAAAATTAACTGTGTAGAAAATTTGCACACACAGTAGATGTATAAACATATAAATATATATGGAACATATGCAGTAAGATGTTGGTTGTTGCCAGTATTAAAATGATGCAGGCATATACATGATATAGTGCTCCTATAACTATACAACTTGATGAAGTCAATATGGTAGTCATATTTATGTTTACTGTACATGATGATGAGTTTTTCATTGTTATACAAAATTTAATTAGGTATTCACTGATGAACATTTAGGCATTCTCTACTTCATATGTTATCATGATATGGCAAATTTTCTTGAACTATGGCATTTTTTCTTGGGCTGTGTCTTACATTTGCACTACTCTATCTGGAAGGTAAGTTTCTTATGTGGAATTGTTAAATAAACACTCATATTCACAAAGAAGATGAAAAGACACAAATAAAAATAAGAACTGCAAGATACATGTATGATAATGTATTCATATCCAAATATACAAAAAAATCTTTAAAATTCAACAAGACAACAAGCAACCTGATTTTAAAATACTTAAAGTATCTGAACAGACATTGCCCCAAAGATGACAGATGGTGACTAAGCATATAAAAAGATGCAAAAAATAGTATGTCGCCATGGAAATGCAGATTTAAACAAGATATTACTGTACACCTATTAGAATGGAAAAAGTCCAAAAAATCTAAAAATACCACTTTCTGGCAAGTATGTAGCACAAAAGTAACTCTGCTCATTGCTGTTAGGAATGTGTAATGATAGAACCTCTTCGATAGTCAGTTTGGCACTGTCTAATTAAACATAATCTTACCATACAATGTAGTAATTGCACTTCCAGGTGTTTATCCAAATGTGTTAAAAATGTTTATAGCAGCTTTATTCATACTTATCAGAATTTGGAAGCAACTAAGATGTTCTTCAGTAGGTGAGTTGATAAACAATCTGTGGTATATCAATACAATGGAATATTACTCATCAATAAAATAAGATTATCAAGTCATGAAATTATATGGATTAACCAAGGATGCCTATTGCTAAGGCAATCTGAAAAGATTATATACTGTAGGATTCCAACTATATGGTGGTAGGGAAAGACAAAACTATAGAAACATTGACAATATCTACATTGCATAGAAAAGGAGAAAGGAATGGCATATAGGTTATGTGTGTGTGCGTGAGGGGTAGAACAGTGAAACTATTCCATAAGATACATTAGTGGTAGAAATATGAACTCATTTACTTGCAATGTTCATAGAATTATTTAACACAAAGGGTTAATCCTAAGGGTAACTGTGAACACATGTAATGTTTTAGTATTGGTTTATTAGTTGCACAAATACACAACATCACTTTAAGATGCTAAACATAAGGAGCGCTAGGGTCTGGAGAGATGGCTCAGTGGTTAAGAGTACTTGGTGATCTTGCAGAGATCCAATATGTCATTCAAGGGCAGACCTCCATGACCTAACTCTCATCCACTACTACCTGTCTGTTAACTGATTCACTACCTCTTAATAGCTCCAGAAGCTAGGGACCAATGCTTTACCTTGCAGGTCACTTTGGGGACATTTACCCAAACAGAAGTGGTAGTATTATTACCTAAGTAGGCATTCCTTAAGTATGCTCACAATACATAGGTGTTGAAAGTAAATTTATCATCAGAATAAAATATACTTCTTTCTAGTAAATCTATACTTTAGAAAGTATTCACAATTAAATTCATTGAAATCCACATTCAGGAGGAAAACAGCACCGAACTATTATATAAATTTATTGGTTAGAATCTCTACTGAGAAAACCACCAATGTGGTTTGCTTAGAGAATACAGAGAAAATAATTCTTAAAATCCCTTGAAGCCTAGTAAATGAAAAGGAAAAATGGGATTATAGTATGTAATTTATCTTTCTATACTAACCCCAAGCCCAAAAAGGTAAATGCTAAATTATTCTTTTAATCAAACTCTGATTAATGTAATCTTGATGGAAAAGTGGAAACTTTTCTTCTTGTATTTATTTACTGTATTTTGAAGGTCTTCACTCCCACCCTAGAAAGAGTTCCTTCATTACAAAATTTAACATTGCAAAAATAATTCCATTTTAAGAGTTAGTGATTATGTCTGTCCCAATGTTTTTGGTTTTCAAATGAACCATTGTTAATAATTGATAAGAGCATACTTGTTGTCCTCATATACTGTTATTTTTCTGTGCATTTTGTTTTTTGGTGATGATGTTGATGATGGTGTGTGTGTTTTGTGTATGCTTATGTGTGAAGATACATGTGCATATTTTTATGTGCAAGTAGAGGTTACAAGTCAACATTGGGGGTATTTCTCAATTTCTCTCCAACTTTTTAAAATTTTGCATTTGTATTCATTTGTGTGTCTCTGTGTATGTGTATGGATGTGTGCATGCTACAGCACACATGTGGAGATCAGAGACCACTTTCAGTTCTTTCTTTCTATGGTTCAGGTCATGGGGATCAAACTTAGGTCATCAGGGAGGTGACTTTACTTGCTCAGCCATGTTGCAGGGCCACCAGATTATTTTTTCAGACAGTTACTGAATCTGGAACATTGCAATTGAGCTACACTAGTTGTCCAGAAAGCCCCTAGGATCCTCCATGTTTGCCTTCCAGTGCTGAGGTATAGTCAGACGCCCCAGGCTCCTAGCTGTATGTGGGTGCTGGGGATCAAAATGAGGTTCCCATTTTCATGCAGCAAGCACTTTATCAATTGAGCTGTTTCCCCAGCCCTTCTTTCAAGAAAATGCTAGTATTTTATGTATCCCTACCATTTTTAATGTAGTACTCTGAACTATGACTTCTGTGCAGCCCACACCAATTTCAGACTCATGAAATGTTTTTAACCTTTATTGCCAGAACAGACACAATTTAACTTTTGAAAATAACAAGGAAGTTAATGTTTATTTTCTACTCACTTGTCACCCTTTATTGTCAACCTGAATATAGGTAAAGGATCTTTATTCTGCAGATTATATATGCATGTATGCTAAGTATGAATATAATTATAAGCATGCAGATTTCATCAAGTTGAATATTAAAAGGGGTCTGTATCTTATATATGCCCGCATAATTGTAATACTGCTATCAGCCTGTATCTTACTGCCTATATTCCCTATATATCCATATATGTATATGTTTATGTGTATGTATCTACTATGTATGTGCTTTTCTATGTAGTTAGCATGTTAATCACACCTAGAATAGTTGGTTCTTTTGAAAAAAGATATATTTGTTAATATGTTTGTATGTGTCCCAGAGTATGTGTATGTGTATCATGTGCATACAATGCCTGCAAAGGACAGAAGAGGGCATCAGACTCCTGAACAACAGTTATAGTTAGTTTTGAACTTCCTGAAGTTCTGGGAACAGAACCTGGGCCTTCTAGAAGAACAGTAAGTGCTCTTAATGACTTATCCATCTCTCCAACCCTGGTTGGTTATTTTTAAATTAATGCTTTTGTGTTTGTTTCATTCTCTTTGCTTAGGAATATTGGAAAAATCCAATAGGGAAGCCATGGTAGAGAAACGTACAGCAAATGAAACCAATATTTCTCCAGAGCCATTATTACCAGTTAAAGAGGTGAGACGTTTTATTCACATATTGCATGATTACATTGTAAGTCTATTATGAGTCAAAATATCTGAGTTTTCACTTTACTCCCAAATAATCTTGACTGAAATTTCCTCAGAAATTTTAGGCAAAAATCTGGAAGTGTTATCATCAGGTAATTAAACAACAGATGCTGATGACAGTATTGAGAAATAATCCTTATACACAGATGATGGGAATGTAAATTAAGTCAGCCACAATGGAGATCAGTGTGGAATTGCCTCCAAAAACTTAAAGGCTAAAACTAACCATCAGACCTTCCTGTGCCACTCTTGGATATATATAAGGAGGAATCTAAGTCACCACACAATACTCATTTTCATTATGTCAAGTTGTAGAATCATCCTAGGCTTCTGTCAATAGAATGGATGGATATCAATAGATTTATTCGTTCATAAAGAATAAAATCCCGGGCTGTAGAGATGCCTCAGAGGTTAAGAGTACTGACTGCTCTTCTAGAGGACCTGGGTTCAATTCCCAGCAACCACAGGGAGGCTCACAACCATCTATCATGAGATCTGGTGCCCTCTTCTGGCGTATAAGCAAGCATGCAGACAGAACACTGTATATGTAATAAAAATAAGTAAAATAAATTAAAAAAGAATAAAATCCCAAGATGCATTGCAGCTACAAGGCTGTTGAAATGTAAGAAAATGAAGATAATACGCAGAAGGGACATGACAGTTTAACGTTGTCTTTGTTTGTTTACTCAATTTGTATGGAGCTAAAGACTATCACATTAAGTGAATAAGCAAGATTCCTAAAGACAAATAGATGTTTTCTATCAAAGTGTGGAATCTAGATTAGACACGACAAGACTTGTAAGCAGAATGGAGCCGAACTGGAGTAAAGGAAGAATAGCTGGAGGAGATGGATAAAAGAAAATATTAAAGAGAATAAAAATTAATATGATCAAAATGATAAATATGTGAAGATATCATAAAAAGACCCATTAATTTGTACAAGTAATTAAGTTAACAAATTAAAAATGTTTCTAAGAAAAATAAAATTGGGACATTGTTCTCTTGCATAATCATGAGAATGGTATAAAAAAAAAAGAAGTCAAGAAATTTTTGTTTCCATCTTGGCTCAGGATCTGTATTTTGAGAATGTGAACTATAGATAACCATTGAAAAGTGATAAATTCTGGTTTGCAAAAGAAAGGCATGAAGGTTTGAATGGATCTCTTTGTTTACTTGTTCAGGATCCATTGCAAGCTTCTGCTCTCTTGTGTAGTAGAGAGAGTTACATCTACCAGCTCTCCTGCTTTCTGGAATGTGGGAGTGTCTATGTAATTAAAGGTATTGGTGAGATGTTGGAGTGCACAAGTTGCAGAGAAAAGGTAGAATTTCCGATGCCACACCACATTCTGTATGTGATTATTGTCCACTTGGCAGCTAGACTTGACTTAGCCTCTGTTGGTGGCTCAGTCTCTCAAGCACAGTAGTTTTCCTTTCCTTTGGTAAACCAGCCCTAAGCTTGATTGTGATTTTCTGCTGTGTTGTGCTTTATAGTTTGTGCTTTGCTTCGCCAGTATTCAGTCACCTATGTTATTGTTATTTACTGTTACATCATGTCACCAATGTTACTGTTAGTTACTTTTACATCATGTCACCTACGTTACTGTTAGTTAATTTTACATCACTGCAACAAAATACCCAACAGAAACAAAGAGGCTCTTGGAAGATAACTGTTAGCCAACAAGGTCAGATTACTTTACAATTCTTTCTCCTACAACATTTTCACCCCGCTAACAACCTGTTTTATTTACATTTCTCCACTTGCCCACCCTGTTATCCTATCTACCTTCAAGGTACCAAGCAAAGACCTCTTTCCCTGATAAGACTCACGTACCAAGCTATAACCTCTCCCTGAGGAATCCCCGCCCCAAGTTTTCCGCTTCACCTGCTATATAATGTCTCTGAGAAAAAGAAAATTTGCAGCTTGATCAGAAACCCTGTCTAGCTGTGGTCCTTGTGTCTCTTGTTCCTATTCATTCCAGGTCCTTTGAGGTTCAGGTTCACGTAGCAGCTCTGCTGGCTGGGGCAATTACCCAGTCATAACAGTGATCAATTCCCTACATTAAACTATTCCTCTTGAAATTCCTTGCATGGTTTCTGCTTTCTCAATTAATACTGAGTAATACAATATGTAAATATTTTAAAAAACCAAAGTCTGTATAGTTTATAACATTGCAAGTGATATGGTCAGGAATACTCAAAGTATACATAGTGCTTCAACAACAACAAGAAAATCAAACTCAGCGAGAATCTAACATTATGTAACAGAAGATAGGATTCGATAATTCCTAACTGTTGAGCACTGAAAAAAAAGCCACTCAGTTCTTTTCATTTTCTTGGATTAATTAACAAATGTTCTTTATTTTAACTGGAATGCATGTGATGCCAAATATCAGATGGGAAGAGAAGAAATAAGCAATTTTTCATGAAAACAGACTTTTAGGAGATGGTGTCAGTGCATGGAGGTTTGCAGTTTTCTTTGTATGGGTAGCGATTTATGTCTTTGTTTCTCATCCTTGGGGGTGGGGGATTCATATTACCAGCATATTATAGTCACATATCAATTATCACAGGAAAAGATTGCCCCTATGCAGATAGAGAAAAAAGCATAGACTGGGAAAGGGAAAGTGACTCCAGCCACATCAAACAGTCACAATTTTACCCAATATCTTCCTTGAATGAATGGAAGATTTTAATGAATGTTTGTGCTCCAATAGAGAAATAAACTAGCAAACAAACCAAGACTTTTGTTTATTGCTTTTCATTTTATAGAGGTAATTTCCTTTAACACTTTTATCATTAATGTGTCCCAAAGAATTACTGTTATGCCAGTTTTTAATTTTTCCACTTCTTATGACCTGTGTTTGAAGCTGACATCCCAGGTGAAAGGAAAGAACAGATTCCTGAAAGTTATCCTCTGACCTTCATTATGAGTAAGGGAATAAAGTTATTGGTTAATTGTACTCAAATATAATTAAGAGGTGGGGTTCAGCTCTATGTTGTAAAAGGATCAAATAAACTTTAGACAGAAAATTTGAGTTCCATTTTAATTGTTGTAGAAGAGGAGCTGTTAGTTTGAATACAGATTGTAGGCTCATGAGCTGTATATAAACCATCTTTATTATTTTCTATAGTTGTACAAAATGTGTTAAAATGATGTTGTAATGGATAAACACACAACAACTTAGGCTAATGATGTTAATCTTACTAATTCACAGGTTTTCTATGATTCATTAGTGTGTGTGTGTGTGTGTGTGTGTGTGTGTGTGTGTGTGTGCCTTCCCAGGCAAATGAAAATGCATATGTGCCAGGATACACCAGTGAAGGTCAGAGGACAAAGTCCACGAATCTGCTGTTTCCTTCTACCATGGGATTAGGGCTCAAAATGGTCCTTGAGTTGGCATAGCAAGTACATTTGCCCATGGCTCACTCCATGAGGCATCTCACAAGTCCAGGTTGCTGCAGTCTTAGAATGAAAGGGGCATAGAAACCATCCAGTTCAACTCAGATATCCAGATAAAGACTCTGACATCATGAAAAGTAAAAAAATAAATAAAAAATCAATCAGGGATTTAGGGCACCAGATTTACTTTCAAAACTATTTTTATTAGATTTACTATGTATGTGTCTCATGGGAATCGAAATTCACTAGACTCAGGTTAAATGAGGTTTATTCAGAGAGACTACACTTACACAAGAGGCTGCCACAGGTTCCAGCTCCATAGATCCTTCCAGCTGTTTCCCATGACTCGGCCAGCAGCAAGAGGAGCTTGAGCCTGTCCCACCCAGGCTAAATCCCCTACCTCTTGTAAACACCTGTAACCACGCCAAATTGGCGTCGTCAGCACCACAGATGTGTAGTTAGATCTCTCACTACAATTCCCCTTTTAGTCTAAAGAGAAGATTTATACTTGACACAAAACTATATACAAAGATAGCAAATATCAAGTATGCGCTAGGAGAAGGGAAAGTAAGAACATACACTCTCAAGAACTATAAAAACAAGAGCAAATAGCAAGAACTACATATCTTTGGGTAAAGGCATAACAGAGATTACTATAGATCTGTACTAAGCTGGAAAGTTTAAGTCTTGTACCTAATATTTCTATCTAGAGAGAGAACAATAATTGTGACAGTCTGATCTTCAACCTCATCAAAGACCAGAGAAGCTAAGATAACAATACTAGGGTAGGCAGGAAGTGCAAGCAACTTCCAAAGGTGCAGTGAAGACAGAAACAGCAGACTACCTGGACAGTCACTCAAAGTCTCACAGCATATTAGGAGCAACCAGCTTTGGCTAAGGCCTAGAGTATCAAACTGACCAACACACAGAAGCAAGGAGGTAGAAAGGCTGTCTTACCCTGACTTGGCAAGGTTTAGCATTCTTCTAAATTATCTCCTGCAAGCACAGTAGGACAGCATGTCCAAAGTCAGTGGTGGAGGTGGGGGCAGTTCTTTGCCTAAGGGGCCATTAGCTGAAGAGAGAATGGACTCCAGAAGGAGTGACATTGGTGTCTAACATTTTCATGGGAATAGTTTGGTGCTGTCAGGAGCAATTGTGTCTCATGTCAACAGAGTACTAATATTAAAACATGTAAATGCCATATTCTGCAGGTTTATGAAGTGTTTGAAGATCAAAATCTATGTCTGACTAATCTCATAGATATAAGACTGTGGGTGAAAATATCTGTAATTCTCAGGAACTTAATTGTACAATAGCTTAAGCTTCCCAAAATAATTTAGCAAGGACCAAGATTACAACAATATAACTATATACACACATATATGTGAATCTCTAAAACAGAGGTAGAATTGAAGTGTCTTAATCAGAGGTAGAACTGTATAGTGCAACACGATAAAAATGTCCGAAATTGTGTTAATATTCAGAATATCTTAAAACATATGTAAAAGCATATGTACATAGAATATGATGAGGATATTTGTGCACAAAACATCATAAATAGAAAGAAGACCTTATACAATATGACAAAATGTAATATACAAATTATCCAAGAAAGGAATACAAGTTGATCATACATAAGTTATATCATAAGATAATCTATAACAATGTAAGTTGTCTATAGCTAATAATTACTAAGGTAAATAACAAGAAGATATATTAGTCTACCTATATCCCAACCTAACCATACCTCTCCCATCCATACCCTAAACTAAAAGAGATACCGGGATCTAAGGCCAGAAAGCAGGCACTGGATCCCTGGGACTAGAGTGAATGGAGGTCGTGAGCCACCTGATGTGGGTGCTGGGAACTGAAAAGTGCTCGGCAAGAGCAGCAAGCTCTCTCAACTGCTGACTCATTTATCTAGCTCTAAGCCCATAGGCTTCTATATTTGGAATAGGTGACATGTTACTACAAACAAGGTCTGCTAAAACAGAGCTTGATTTCTAAGCATAGATTTAGTCTGCTTACTACTTCATGGCTTTAGTACTTTAGAGAACATTATGGAATTTAAAGGATGTCTATATTCACAGATATGTTTCCATATGAGACCAAGACTAAGATTTAAAAATAATTAAACCAAGTGTGCCAATTAGTTTTTTGTCAATTTGCCACAAGCAAAGGCATTCTGCAATGAGGGAACTTAACTGAAGGATTGCTCCCATCAGATGAAGCTGTAAGTGAGTCTGTGAGGCATTTTCTTGATAGGGGATTGGTATGGGAGAAGGCTTGCCATTTGGGTAGTGCCACCCCTGGTCATAGGTTGTATACAAAAGGAAGCTGAGCCAGCCACAGAGAGTGATTCAGTGAGTATCACTCATTCATGCTCTCTGCTTATTTTTGTCTCCCGGTTCTTGTTCATATTTCCCTCAATAATTACCTGTGATTGGTATGTGGAAGCCAAACAAACCCGCCCCTCCCTAAACTGCATTTGGTCATGGTGTTTTACAATAGTAATGAAAGCAAATTGGGACATCAAAATTATAACATTCAAGTTTTGTTTCATTTTAAGAGAGAGAAAACACATGGAATTGGGTTGGTAAGAGGTGGAAGATCTGGGAAGATAGAGGGAGGCAAGAATATGATCACAACATATTAAGATAAAAACCTTAAAATGTAAAATAAAGTAAAAGGAAGAAAAGCTATATAAAGGAGCTGCATATGATTGTAGACTATAAAGTAAAAACACACCGTGAAGCCGCTAAAGAAAAAAGAATGATTATGATGTCAGTGATGCTTCTCCCACATACAATGCAATGCAGACCACTTTACTTCCTCATTTCTTGTAACAAAACAAAGTGCCTAGCCTTTGTGGATGGGGGGACTAAATAAAATTCTAAGCAAGTTAAAACCAGAAAGGTGAAATGTTTTTCTTCTCTGAGAAATTCATTTTATTGCTGTTTTCTTTTTTTAATTTGTCTGGAATACTGAGATTAAAAGAGAAGTCAAAGATTGAATATTAAATGCCAACTTATGTTGCAATTCTTGTTAACAATAAACTGTAAAAAGACTATAAAAATCTAATTTAGATTTTATTAAATGTATTGAATTTAAAGGCTGTTTTATGTGATAGGTTGTAACTGTAGCGTTCAGCTCTCGTTAAAGATGGTTTTATTGAACTATACTTAAAAGATTAAATTTTGAAAAGGGTTTTTGATCAAATCAACTGAGGAACTAAAGTTAAATGTCAGTATATTGCTGTGTGTAAAGAATGCTCATATTTGTGCATATTGCTTCATTCACAAGGTAATGCTCTTCAGGTTGTAAGAATGGCTTTTAGACTATATCAAAAGATACTGTATTCAATATGTTGAATGAAAGTAAAAATTTTATATCAAAATATTTGCTCCTAAGTTAAAACTAATATGAATATGATTTCATATATATCTATATCTATATCTATATTTCAGGCTACTTTACTAGAGTTTGGCTGGAGAAATGCATTTAAAGATATTACTCTTTCCATGGCGCACTGCATATCAGCAGCCATTGAAGGTTTTTCCACCAAAGTTCTCCAACAGGAGCAAACAGAAAGAACCTCAGCTTCGAGCTACATTATGAACCTTGTCAATGTCCCAAAAGCTTGTCTAGAAGGTCACATATTTGCCGAGGAGGAACAACCAAAGCAAGTCGCCAAGGCAAGTATCAGATGACATTGCTTCAGACTGCTTTGGAAGGTGTGGCATTCATTACTTTTATTTATTCTTTCTTTTGCAAATGTAAGGATTGTAAAAGCATCCTATAGATCAGACAGTGGAGTGCCTTGGAAAGGACCTGGTACCTGAACATATTAATTTTCTTCTCTGGTGTCTATAGCCCAGAACTACCTTAGGATGCATGTCTCTTTGCTAATATTTGCCAGTTTATTCTGAAGCAACTTGAAAGGGGGTCTCAATAAGTTGGGGAGTATTGACAAAGCTGGAATGACATGAGAAGTTTAAGAGGTTAATGTGGATACCATTTTGTGTTGCTGTGAACGTATAAAATCTTTTCACCTAAATGAATATCCTATCTGTCTTGAAAGTCAACACAACCTGCCGAGGAAATGTGAAGTCAATCATAGACAGTCTGCATTTACTGTGGTCAGCAGCCAGTGATGGGTGTCTTTCAGAGTCCCTACTTCATTCTCCCTTTGCCACCCTGAGTCTTGGGAGCCCTCACTGGAGAGCTGTCTTGACTAGTCAGATAGCGGAGGCAGGCTGTGCCTTCAGCCTCTCTACTGCTAAAGAGACCATATACATATAAATAGTGAGAACAGACACAACACTTCTGAAAGATCATGGCTCCTTACCCTAAGAAGAGATTACATGAAATTGTTTCTTCTGCCTGTGGGTTACTTAAGTCAACCTGATATTCTTTGTATTATTTAGTAAAATATGTTTATATCTGGAAATTTATTAGAAGCAAATTGGGGCAAGCAAGTTCAACAAGTAATGTGAAGTTAATATCAAGGATACAGATTATTTTAAGTTCTGTTGACTACACATAAAGGTACTATCATATAACGCTAGCTCATGAGTTTTTCGTAATGTCTGGTGAGCATAAGGCTTGAATGTTATATATAGAAAGACATCATTTTGGTATTTCCTTATTTGACATGAAACATTTAACTTTCTACAACTGAGAAATTGATTGTTATAAAGCTGCATCATTATATTTATGTTTGATGCCAAATTCATTATTTAGGAATTTGGCTCCACTGTACATAAATTATGTGCTGCTGTCAGGATTCAAATAACTCACCGCTACATTTATTTCTCCCTAGTTTTGTTCTGACATCATGGAAAAGCTTGACACAATGCTTCCACTGGCTCTGGCATGCAGAGATGATTCTCTTCAGGAAATTAGAGGGAACCTCGTGGAGGCCTGCTGTAAAGTGGCAACAGCTGTCCTGGAAAGACTGCAAGAGAGAGGCAGGGACATTCCTTCAGGGGCACCCCTGAAGAACCTGCACATCCTCCTCTCCACGGCAGCCTATGTCTCCCAGCATTTTACGCACTATGACAATCTGATGAGAGAGACAACTAAGAAGTGAGTGTCTTTTAAATTAAGTTGGTGTTCATGCTTAAGGAAACATGCACTCTTTAGATTTCAGAGAAACAAAATGTTGGCATAAATCATTGAGGAGAAAATAATCATTAACATGGTGGATTGTTTTCATCTTTCTCGATTAGGAAATGTTTCAAAGATCAAATATGGGTTATATTAAATTAGATGTGTAGATAATAACAAAGGCAACCTCTGCGAAAGACATGCACAAAGAGGGCAGCCATGTTCTGTATGTTGTTATGACAAGAATTTTACCCCATTCCTTTCATAAGGCACATTAAACTGACCACATAGAAAAGGGAAATTAAACTTGTTTCTGTCCCACATATAAACATTTGTGAAATATGTATTCTCGATTCTGCTTCTAATCCAACAGGCTGTTAGGAACTGCCATAGTGAATAAATGCATTTTAATCCATCTTTGTGCCTAGTGTAAACATATTGCAGGACATCTATTTAGTAATAAACTATCCACAATATTTGAAGAAGAAGCATCTGCCAATCTTTATTCTCATGCACTGGTAGTCTAAAAATACAATATGTTTTCTGTATGGAGATAGAAGTCGCCATGAGTACTATCAAGTGGTCTTTCTGGTTATGCTCGAATTTTGTAGAACTTACAGGGCAGTCCAGTGCAACCCAAGAATTTCTTCTATATTCTTTATTCATCCTGTAGAGTCTCTTTGCTGTGAAATAAGGAACTGAGATATAAATAGCTGAAGATAAAAATGAAATAAATTTGGCTCAATGTAGGACACAGTTATGTTATTTCCTTAATTCTCATAAGCAGTCAGATGTTGTGATTCATACTTGAATTTATAAACAAAATATGCCAGAAATCACTTCATTTCAGTAGACTATTTTAAAACAGTTTATGAGATAATTGACATCTACAAAATTACAATTTTTTAAAAATAAAAAGTGTCTTTATGGGATGTGTTAGCTTTAGAAAAGTTGATTCTGACAAGTGTATGTTGCTCCTCAGTAATTATGATAACCTAATGCCTAAATAATGCACTGATCTCTAATAATAGTCTTACAAAGAATACTTTTAGTTTTGAATGATATATTGACAATACAGGTTGTCTCGAGTTGAAGTGCATACTTGTAGAACAGCAGATGTACGTTTTCAAAGGACTTGCAAAACAAAGGCAAGCTCCCCCCACCCACTTTTCTTTTTGGAAAGTGAATGTGGATACAGCCTTCAGCTTTGGGAGGAAATGAATGATTGATATCTAATAATGAAAACCATTTGTAGTGCTGGAGGTTGTTACCTCCTACTGCACAGGCCTTAAATCTTTGTCTCTTTGATCATTCCCTCTGAACAGACCCGTATTCCTGGTGCCTGTCCAGCGATATCAGGAATTCATCAACACTCTACAGTTTCAGGTTACAGACTACTGCGTCAGAGTTTGTGCTACAAGCATTTTACAGGATGCTGAGAGCCACCACTGGGATGACTACAAAGCTTTTTATGAGGTGTGAAGTTAAGTTTACTATTCGTCCTTTTTACACAAATATGTTTTACTGCCTACCTGCTTTCTGGCTAATTAGAAACATGAGCTCCATATTACTAAAACACGAAGGCTGTTAGGATAATATTTTTTAAATATTGAATTTGTATTTAGGAAAAACACTGTCTTTGGAAACCTGAAATAAATTAGACATCAGAACTCTCCTTCTGCTTGAAAGTAAAAATAACTTGATTTGAGTTGCAGGATTGCAGCACTGTGTGAATTGGGATATAATGAGATTCAATGACAACTCAGAGATAACAAGAGCAAACCCAATGCTTTGTGTTTTCCCAAAGCTTCCGGTTAGAGGTGCCCTTGCATCTTTTCTTAGTACATGTTTTCATCTTCTTTAATGAATACTTGTTATTATGCAGCTTTACTCTTATGCTTATTTTTTACTTCTCATTCTTAAGAGTACATTTTAATACCTGTCTTAACATTTTATGCTTCACTATTTTCATTTAGCTCATGTTTTGAAATCCCAAATACCTACCACATTAAAGCCCAAATAATCCCCCAATATAACCAAACTAAGAATCAGTTAAAATTATGCATGATCAGGCTTCATTAGTTTCTTTACCACTCAATCCCACAGATTGTATGTAGATCATATAATACTTGAAATTAATTCCATGCAAGGGCAAAGTATTTATATATCTTTAAAATCATATTTGAGGTTTAAAAGTTTCAATGATCAGACTCATCTTTATTTTTCATCATAGACTTTCTTCTGGATTACAGTCTATGATTTTCATTTTCCTGGATTTTCTGAACCACTATGGAGTATTTAGAAAAAGAGAGTGGGTTTTTATTTGGCAATCACTCTTGCCATCCTTAGGCACGGCTATGTTTGTGCCTGAGATATCATAGATGTTGTTAAAACAGTGGCCTCTAATAAGGCCCTCTTAATGACTTTCTATTTCCCTCAGGCTGTTTCATCTCTTTAGAGCCCTCCCCAGATAGTTTTCTCTTTGCAAGAGTATCCATACATCATTTTCCAAATCCACTGTATTTCAAATATTAGTGTTAGCAGCAAAAAGAATGAGAAAGTGGCATGGTATAGCTGGTGGCCTGAGATAAGAATGAAAGTATTGGTCCCTCCTCTCCTAACAGCATCACAGATTCAACTTGCTTTGAGGTAAACAGAGTGACATGTTTCAAACTATTTCACTAAGCCCAGGTACTACTGAACAACTTTATATGATTACAGTAAGGAGCAGGGTCATCTCAACCAACAATCAAGATCTGTGCTTCCTCTTACGCAAATCAGGAACTAGAACAGTTCTGCAGTGTAAATAAGTGTATGCACTGAGAAGCTGTTATTGGAGTTACTGAGTACTTACCAAAACCAAGCAAAACAAAACAAATAACCACGTAACATGCATATCTTAGGTCTTATGACAAGGCTGTAGCTTCAGAGACCGAAACAATGAACCTGTTACTCTGATTACACAGCACTAGAGCATCCATATGCTCACATGGTCAGTAGTTACAATTTAATTGCAGTTAACAGTTCTTATTTATGCATAGGAAAAAGTGATACTGCTTTCCTATTTACCAAAAATAAGATGGGTTTGGAAAATAGCACCGATTTCAAACTGTTTTGATGAGTAGTATAGCAGACATAGTTGTATCTCATTTATTGAATCCCTTTCTCCTCCTGTCCTCCATCATGTCAGCTGATTTGTAGAACTGGACTGTATTTTAGAAAGCTTGTTTTAAGAGGAAAGAGATGGTGCATGGCTGACTGGAAATGAAAGGTTGAATAGAGTTCTCAGAAAAACCTTTGGCCATGTGCACAGTGAAGTAGGGAAAAAAGTACAAGAATTTACAAGCTAGGAAGCAATGTTTGCTCATATTTTATGATAGCAAGTGAACTACAGGCACACATTTCTATACTCTAAACATGTCAGGCTGCATGAGCCAAAGATCTGGGCCTTGTTCATTGACAGTACAGTTGGTATTGAGATTTCATGTTTAAAATTAAGCTTTTTGTATAGTTAACATCTGCTCAGTTTTAGGAACTTGTGTTTTCCAATAGTCAAAAAGTAAAGAATTATCTGTTCAGAGATAATACTGAGTGGCTTCTATAATAAAGTCCAGCTGCTAGTTTCCTGATATATAATCTAAGCAAAGCTCACATCTGTTTACATTATAGTGGGTTTATAAAAAACAACAGATGTTTACTACAGAATACTTTGAAATGACAACAAGCAGGGAAACGGGTCAAAAAATTGAGTCATATTTATTTTAATGAAACCCTCACATACACCCACACTGAAGTTGTATTCATTTAGACAGAACTGCTAGAACAAAGGCCATTTTGACAGAACTCCTCAAAAACATGAAGCAACTTATGGTCTTAAAATACACATATTATGCTTTGAACAGAAAAAACCCTCTGTGCTAAAAGATATCTATAAAAGAAACTGATTTTTTGTATTTGGAAAATGATGGGAAATCTTGTTGATCACATTGTTATTAGGCCCCATCCCTAATCCACCCAGCATCAGGTGGATTCAGAAGTCCCTTTAGTTACATCTGAAGTTTGAGTGAATCGAGCTTTGAGACTCCTCTCAAAGGAGTTCTTAGAACACACCACAGAGCAAATGAAGCACTGATTTTGATTTGTTTTGAATTTTATACATTTTTTTGTAAAGTAGTTTGCCCTATATAATTGGGAAGTCAAAAACCACCTAGTCTAAATCCCTTCTTGCTTGAACATAACTCTGATAGTTTTGAGTTCAAGTTTCCTACACAGAATAATAGTTCCATTCTTTTTTGTATTATCATTTGAAAATCAATCACCATTTTAATGACTACAATATTTTAGTAATCAGTGTGTCAAAATAATGCCATGTGAAGAAAATATCTGTATGAGAAGCTGGTCTTTGCTTCTTTTATAAGACAGAATTTCTCTTGTAACCCAGAGTGGCCTGGAACTTGTTACACATTTCAGCCTGGCTTTACACTCAACACCAGTCCTCCTTCCCCAGCCACTCAAGTGCTGTGATGACAGGGGACCCATTACCATTGGCAAGGGCAAATACTTCTTAGATGACGCTTATCTGAAACTATCCTAGTGAACACAGCAAATTGTAAAAGTGTAGACAAAGTTTCTGTCCCACTGGGGCCCGCAGCCCTTTGATCCCAAATAAACACACTGAGGGTTATATTAATTATAAGCTCTTTGGCCAGTGGCTCAGGCTTGTTACTGGCTAGCTCTCTGAATTATTAACCTATAACTATTAAACTGTGTATTGCCAGGAGGCTGTGGCTTACCCATAATCCAGCATGTTACTCTTTGGCAGCTATATGGTGTCTCCCTCAAGGCTTCTCTCTACCTCCTCTCCCCTTCATTCTCCTTGTCTGGTAGCCTCCCCCACCCCACGTATACTTTCTGCCTGGTTACTGGCCATTCAGTGTTTTATTCGTCAACGAAAAGAGATGCTCCCTTTGGCCCAGTAACTGCTAGATTTCCTTCTGAAGTCAGGCAAAAGTTAGTACATAGACAAGTCTATGGAGGAATGGGGAAAAAAATGAGAGTTTCCACCTTTGGATGTATGTAAAAGAGTAAAATGATGATAATATGTACCTGCACTTTAAAAATGCTATAAAACTAGATTACTGTTTATCTGTTGCTAGTATAAACTATTATTAAGACACCATTAATGGAATAGCCTAATGTACTAATGCATTCTTCAATAGGTAAGCATCACACTTGGTTTCATGAATGTGCCTAAGATGTAGCACACGTGTTTACTTTTAGTCCTCTTGTTTCATTATAATATGGAATCTGAAAGATTTGTAAAATTAACTCAGTCATGCTAATCTTCTCAGAGAAATGTGCCTCCATTAACAATTTAAACAGATTTTAATTTTGGAGAGTCAGCATGACTTGTTAAGCAACTACAAACCTGATGCCTAAAAGTACATTTTGAAAGGCAGACCAAGACCAGGTAGATCAAGAATATGCTGGGTCCAAATGATTGTGGTCTGGATTTACACTAGAATATCTCATTCAGAATTGAAATAAAACATATGTTCCTTTGTCAATAGGATGTTTAACATCTTGTCAAAATTCTTTCTTGGTCATCTAGCAAGCTCTCCAATGATTTCCTCTCAGCCTGAACTAATTAGGTTCCTAGGAAGCAAACGGACATTCGGAAGATGTGATTTTGTTGTTTACTGTGTGATGATTTTGCCAGGGGGAAAGATGTTCCTTCTCCATCCAGATGTGGCATTACTTCAGCTGGGCTCTGCGTCATGACCTCTGGACCATACTGCCAGCTAAGTTAGCCCAGATGATTCTAGCAGAGTTTCTGGAGAAGTCCTTGGGTCTACTTGCCTCCAGATATGCTCGGGCGTGTCCCAGTCCTAAGAGAACTGCACAGATAAGGTAATGAAAGCTACTCTTCAAGGAGACTTTTTAAGAAGTGAGCTCTTAAAACAAAATGTGATTGTGTAGAGCAAGATAAAACTTGTGTATTTAGCGCATTTCTAACATCTGAGAGGAAAGGGTACCTGCTCTCCTGAGGTATTATGCAGAAAAGTGGAGCTTGGTTCCTAATGACTTCCCTGCTCCTTCCCCTTGCAAGCATTAAATCCCCTTTGCTTGTAGAAGATGTTCCCACGTGTGCCTCTAGGTCAAATGTACACAATATGATAGAGCGCATTAAGGCCCCATACAGAAAAAAACAGCAACCACACGGGGATGGAACAGGGATGGAACAGCGAGCCTGGCTTTGTTCCACTAAGCAATCAAGGGATTTTAGCCTTTTTTTTTTTTACTTAGTTTGAACTACCTGCACTGCTGACTGTGCCCATTTGGTACGTAGGAGGAGGTAGATAAGGGGGAGAGAGGGTGCGTGCTCTCTCTCTCTCTCTCTCTCTCTCTCTCTCTCCTCTCTCCCCCCTCTCCCCCCCCCCCCCTCCCCCCCTCCCCCCCTCCCCCCCTCCCCCCCTCCCCCCCTCCCCCCCTCCCCCCCTCCCCCCCTCCCCCCCTCCCCCCCTCCCCCCCTCCCCCCCTCCCCCCCTCCCCCCCTCCCCCCCTCCCCCCCTCCCCCCCTCCCCCCCTCCCCCCCTCCCCCCCTCCCCCCCTCCCCCCCTCCCCCCCTCCCCCCCTCCCCCCCTCCCCCCCTCCCCCCCTCCCCCCCTCCCCCCCTCCCCCCCTCCCCCCCTCCCCCCCTCCCCCCCTCCCCCCCTCCCCCCCTCCCCCCCTCCCCCCCTCCCCCCCTCCCCCCCTCCCCCCCTCCCCCCCTCCCCCCCTCCCCCCCTCCCTCCCTCCCCCCCCCCCTCTCGCTCTCTCTCTCTCTCGGGTTCAGCCAGCATTGGGAAGCACTCGAGACCAGACTGCTGGGAGCACCAGTTCTGGTTACTGATTCCCTCGTATGAGTATACTCCCAATAAATTACCAGTTAACAACTATCTCGGATTCTATTTGTATTCCTCATTAGTAGCTATTTTTCATTCTACTTTGTTTTATTCTAGCTCAGTGTGATGGCAAACATTTTTAATCCCAGCACTCAGGAGGTAGAGGCAGGCAGATCTCTGAGTTCGCGGTCAGCTTGGTCAAAAAACAAATAACATTCCCTTTGATCATCGAGATCTCGCGAGATTTACTGGGCAGCCCAGCTGTACCTGCGCACATCTCTTTATAAAGAGTGAAAGGTCGCTCTTTGAGGAAATGTCTCTTTGCGTCCCGGGATCGGATCCCCCTTACTACTTTCTCGAAGCTCCTCTCTGACACTGCATGGCCAAGTTGCCTCGGATTATGATCAAAGGGGAGGGAGGGGGCGGGTGGAGAAACACCGAGGATGAGATTCTGAAAGCAGCGGTAATGAAATATGGGAAAAACCAGCGGTCTAGGATTGTCTCATTGCTGCATAGGAAATCGGCAAAGCAGTGCAAAACCAGATGGTATGAATGGCTAGATCCAAGCATTAAAAAAAACCGAGTGGTCTAGAGAAGAGGAGGAAAAACTGTTACACTTGGCCAAGCTGATGCCAACACAGTGGAGGAGCCTCGCTCCAATCCTTGGAAGAACAGCAGCCCAATGCTTGGAAAACTATGAATTCCTCCTGAACAAAACTGCCCAAAGGGACAATGAGGAGGAAACAACAGATGACCCCCGAAAGCTTAAACCTGGAGAAATAGACCCAAATCCAGAGACAAAACCAGCTCGGTCTGATTCGATTGATATGGATGAGGATGAACTTGAAATGCTTTCTGAGGCTGGAGCTTGCCTGGCTAATACTCCAGGAAAGAAGGCTAAGAGGAAAGCAAAAGAGAAGCAGCTGGAAGAAGCAAGGCGCCTTGGTGTCCTCCATAAAAGACAAGAGCTTCGAGCAGCTGGCATAGAAATTCAGAAGAAAAGGAAAAAGAAGAGAGGAGTTGATTATAATGCTGAAATCCCATTTGAAAAAAAAAAAAAAAAAGCCAGCTCTTGGTTTTTGTGATACTTCTGAGGAAAATTACCAAGCCCTTGATGCAGACCTCAGGAAGTTACGACAGCAAGATCTCCATGGGGAGCTAAGATCTGAAAAAGAAGGAAGAGATAGAAAAAAAAAGAAAAAAAAAAAAAAAAAAAAAAAAAAAAAAAAAAAAAAAAAAACGATAAACAGCATTTAAAAAGGAAAGAAGAATACCATCAGCTATTCTTCAAACTAGTGGTGTCTCTGAGTTTACCAAAAAGAGAAGCAAGTTAGTGCTGCCTGCTCCTCAGATTTCAGATGCAGAGGTCCAAGAAATTGTCAAGGTAGGGCAGGCCAGTGAAGTTGCTTGGCAGACTTCAGAGGAGTCTGGAATCACAAACTCTGCTTGCAGCACTCTCCTGTCTGAGTACAATGTCATAAACCACAGCATCACTCTGAGAACACCAAGGACACCAGCCTCCCAAGACAGGATTCTGCAGGAAACTCAGAACCTCATGGCTTTGACCAATGTGGACACTCCATTTAAAGGTGGGCTTAATACCCCACTGCATGAGAGTGACTGCTCTGGTGTGACCCCACGGAGAACTCTCCAGTGAAGCCTACAACTAGGTGTGGGAAGAATGCTATTGTCAAGTCCTGTATCTTCCTGGTCAGAGCCACTACACAAGGGCTAATCTTGCTAGCAAGAAGGACAGAATCGAATCACTTGAAAAGAGACTTGAGATTAACTGGGGTCACATGACAACAGTAGCCAAGAGTGCTGCAAAAATGGAAAAGAAGATGAAAATTTTGCTTGGCAGTTACCAGTCTTTTGCTATGGGGCTCATGAAACAATTGAATGATTTACGGGACCAAATTGAACAGGCTCACTTAGAGCTACACACTTTTGAAGAGCTTAAGAAACATGAAGACTCTGCTATTCCCCGGAGGCTCGAGTGTCTAAAAGAAGATGTGCAGCAGCAACAGGACCGAGAAAAAAGAGTTTCAACAGAGATAACGCAGATTTGACGATGGAGAAAGACACTTTACTGGCAAAGTTCTGAAGCACAGCTGATGTTCTCCACAGAAGAATTACTTGCTGGTTTCATATCTGCAAGGCCGAAACTGATGTATCTCTTCATTGACAAATTTACCCAGCACCTGTGGTTTCTCAGTTGTTTCGAACGATGCCACCAATCCTGCGTGTTCTGTGTTACAGACTTGGACTCCAGGATAATGAGGACTTAAATTATCCAGACACTCATTCTTTGCCCCTGTCATGTTTGCAAAATTTCGTAGTTTAGGCCTATAATTTAAAAAGCCTGACCTTAAATACTGCCTGTGAGTAAACCCTTGAATAAAAGAACATGTGAAAAAATAAAACAAATAACAACAATAATAAACAGTCTGATTTCTTGTCCCGAATTTCCCTATATTTTTCCTTTTGCCTCTCTATATATTATTGAAAGCCAAATAAAGAAAATGAGAAGCAAAAGACACTAGGTTTTAAATAAAAGACTGAATTTGAGTGCAATTCTAGTATTTTGGCAGTGAATATCATGCAAATGAGCTTAGTGATAACATTAAGCTACAGAGGAAAAGACTTTGTTTTTTTTTAGATACTTGACCTAATGTGATTAAAACCTGGATTCAGGTATGAAATAATGTTTTCAGATATATTTTACAAAGAACCTATAGACATCAGAGACTTCCTTTTTTCTTCAGTTTTGGCAGAAGGAATCATTTCCTAATCATGTTCTCATAAAACACACTGTGATTTGAAGGGCATTTAGGTCCTGCTACAGTGTTTCATAAATATGGTATTTTGCAAAGCTGGTTTGAATTACTGATCAAGCTGTTTTGTTTTTTTTAAATAGAACTCTGAAATATAGATGCAGAATTTCTGTTCAGAGTAAAGACTACCTTTGCTCTCCTTCTTATGAAGCAGAAATCATCTTTAGCTATAGTGTGGCTCATCCTTATGAGATATTTGTATTAACAGATTTGCAGTTAGTTCAAGAGATACGTAACATATTTAATCAGTTAGTGGTGCAATAGATACTTTGGCTTTTTTGTTCTGGATAATTGCACAAAATTGTTATGCAAATCTAGAATTATTGCTTCTAAATTTTCTCTGTAAAATATGTGAATATTTGTATTTGAGAGGTAAATAATAAACCATCATTATTATAGAAACCAAAACTTGTATGTGTGTGTGTATCTTGGTTTAGAAACCATTAACAATTAGAAGTAAATAAAACTAAAATTAAACTTTCCTAGAGGTAATTATTGATAATTACAAGTGATTATTGATTATTGATAATTACCATTGGTTATTAAGCTCTAATAGAATCCACATATCATATGGCCAAACCATATATATGGTTTATGCATGTGTTATATATTACTCGTATATATATATATCTGTGTGTGTATTACACACACACACACAGTCTTTAACACATTGTATTCATGGATTGAGATGTTGGGCCTCAAAAATATGTAGAACTAGTATGTGTTGCTTACAATAAAAAATGTACTTAAAATTTTATGGAAATACAACATGAGAATTAGAAAAAGTTTATAAATAAGATAAAATTTTAAAAATTTCTGAGTCTATAGGCATCTCAGCTTGTGTTTTGGTTATCCTGCCTCCCTATGAGAGTATGTTTCCTGACCTTGTGAGTTCTCTTTGATGGTTTATACATGGATGGCATGGAGATATGTTCTGCTATCAAATACTTACCTGCTATGGTGTGTGTGTGTGTGTGTGTGTGTGTGTGTGTGTGTGTGTGATAGATCATTTTCTTTTCAACCAGCTCCTATTTTGCCCACATTAATTTCAAGGCCAGCCTACTGAGCTTCTGGAAGAGAATTCTGATAATGCAAAGCAAATACTTTTTTAATAGAGGATTCTTACAGTAATAATTAAAGAAGAGATCATGAATTTGGGAGGGAGCATAGAAGAAGCTGGAGCAGAAGGGAGGGGTAGAAGTGTTTTACATGCAGCATGCATGGATGTTCTAAAAAAAAAAGTAAAAACTATTAATTAAAACAAACAAACCCAAAGGATTGCTACAATAGCACGCCTTTGGTATTATGAGCCTTCCAACCATTGAGTGTTCAGAAGGCATCCTGACACTTCCTGGCTTGAGCACGTCTATGTAGATATATCTGATAACCATGTGTTTCTAGTCTTACATATGCTTAGGATACACAGAGTGAAGTGTATGCAACGTATTTTATTTAACATGATTTTTCTTCTCTCTCTTTCCAATAGACTTGATGTCACAACAATCTTAATATGTACTGAGAACATATTATGGTCAGTTTGTACATCTGTACAGGAAGTTTTGAATCCTCATGAGTTTAACAACAATAACATTTTTAAAATCCATACTCATTGCAACAACCTCTTTACAACATTAGCCATTTTAACATCACCTCTATCAGAACTATATCAGTAAGTATCAAATATGTTTTGTTTAAACAAGCTGTGGTCATACCTGTTATTGAACTCTGTATTTAATACCAACTAGAAGTACTCTGAAGTACATTTTTAATATCATAAATTGGGATATTTTATAAACTAAGCATGAACCAGTTCTCAAGGCTATTTAGTCACTCCAAACATGTTTCATGTCCTTTGGTTAGACCTATTCTGTTAATAAGCCCTTTTAATGCATTTTAAGCTTCACCCTTTTGATTTTCTCTTTTTTGAAGAAGTCTTAGAATATGACCTTTACTGAATTCAAAGATGAAATCCTTCTGTCTCCTCCCTCTAAGTGCTGGGATTATGAGCTTGCATAATCATACCAGGCATTAATTTTCACTTTTTGAGTAGGGTCTATCTGTCTATCTATTAGTATGTCTATCTGTCTATCTGTCTGTCTGTCTGTCTGTCTGTCTCTATCATTTATCTGTATATTCATCTAATAGCTTTTAACTCTTTAAAATTCATTTTAATTGTCTATATGAGTGGGGGTAGTGTGTGCACAGGTGGGTGCTGTTGCCTAGAGTCTAGAAATTGTCAGATCCTCTGGCAGAGGTTGTAAGCTGCCCAATGTCAGTGGTGGGAATTGAACGTGTGTCCTCTTCAAGAGCAGTATTCTCTTTTAAATACTAAGATATCTCTTGAGCCCCAGTAATTTACACTTCTTATGTGATATAATTGGTTCAAATTTTAAAAAATACATTTAAGAAAATTCTAAATGTGCTGAAATCTGAAAGAGATGTAATGGCCTCATACTTTCAATAAATATGGTGTAGATCATAAAGTTAGGTTTTAGTTTCTTAACTAGTAATGGCAAGAAGAGGCACATAGGTAATCATACCAAAAAAACCATTTTTCTTATAAATAAAAGTAAAATATAAAAATTGAAACTACTTTTAATTTCAATTTAGTGTGATTCTAATAGGTAATATTATAAAACTTGGAATAGATCTTATGAACAAGCTTTAATATAATTTTTACAATTTCCCCAATAATTTTTTTATATTCAAAGAGTAAATAATTCTGTATTCTTATTTTATTGAACAGTAAAAGGGTCACATAATATTTTTATTTCTTAGGTTAAATTAGGCAGAATACTGCTTTCTGTGCATTCTGGTTAGAGTGATATGCCATTTTCATTCTGAAACATTCTCAGCTTACTTGGTGGACATCCTAAGAGTAATTAACAACTTGGTTTTCGGTTCCTATTCTCTGACTTGAAGCATACCCATTACTAACAGGTTCTTCCTTCTTGCAAAGCAAGCTAAGAACTTGTTTCAGAGGCAGAGAGCTCTTTCAGAGACAAGGAACAGCGAGTAAAACCAACATTAGGTTGAGATTGTATATAGATGGTTTATAATATAAAAAGCTTAAATTTGAAGCCCCTAATAAATTCTAGTAAAATAAACCGATTTACCATACACAGGAAAATTGCTCTGCTCGTGGTTCAGTGGGTCTGATCATCTCAGAAAAAGGCCCTGAGAAAACCAGGAGCAAAGTTGACAAATTTCATGGATAGGGCATGGTGAGCAATATTGAATTTCATGGTTTGTCACAGGTGGATTGAAACTTTTAACCTCCAAATTCATTTGTAAAACAAATACATTATGATCACAGATTATGTATTTTAATAATAATGAGACATACATTCTTTACTTTTATTTTATGGCCTTTTGATACACTTAAACAACTATTCAAGTACTCAAATCTCTGTGATTTGTTCATTTGTAACCTCACTCAGAAAATTTAAACTGCTAATTTCAACTAGGATTATGGAACATTTTGTTGCAAACACTGCCTCTAGATTTTCTTAATATAAAACATAGGCCTGTGTCATTTTCATGAATGAACCAAAGTCTAAATACATTTTTACGTTTTTGAAAGTTCTCAATGCCAAAATACTCACATATTGTATCTATTTTCATTGACTCAGTTTTTGCTATTTTCCTTGGATATAAATCAAATCTTTGAAATGTATTTTGATTTTTGTGACAAAGGAAGTGTGTTCTTCATCATCCAGGGAGATATGTATGTTTTGTAAAACCTTATTGGATTTCAAGCCACTTTATACAGCTGAGATATGAAGTTGTCATATTATTAACATTCTAAAAAAAAATCATCTCTAGCTCATGATGGAAAATAGTATGCTTTGAGGACTTGGGGAAGGAAAAGCAACAATAAGATGTGTTGAATTTTTATGAACTGTACCTGCCCTTGTCTCTTGGCATGACATGCCTTGTAAGAAGAGACTGCCTTTGTTTCAAGTGGTTCTGACAGATCAGTGGGACATGTATTCTTTCTGAGCCTAGTGTAGGACCACTAAGTCCCAGTGCAAGAATACATGATTTTAAACTCTTTCCAGGACGAGTGATACATAACAAAAATGTTAAAAAAAAATGTGTGTTTTTTTCTAAACTTGTCTTCATGAATTTTTGTTTAAACAAAACACTGTTCCCTCTGTAGCCCTATGATTATGTGCAAGGTTATAACAGTTAACTATTAAGCTGCCTCAATCAATTTTAGGAAAGACTGGTAAATTCTGACTATTAAAATTAAATACCACTTATCCAAAATGTTTTGATATATCATAACAAAACTCCTAATTGTGGGAAGTAGGTGTAAGTAGGTAGTCCCAACATTTAACAATATAGTTCAATATAAGTGTTGATATGCCAGTGAAAAGTATAGCATCATAAGAAATAGGAAAGGGTGTAGACTTGTGTTAGAGTTCATTTGAGATGGCTCATATGGCTTTAAGGGCTTCAAATTGCAGAGAATCCTAATGTGGTATACCCATAGCTCTGCTTGGAAGCCATGTTTGTTTTAGGTTCTTGAGATTATGGCCTTAGCCTATGGTTTTTGTAACTATTTCACAGTCTCCAGGGAATGACACATTTTCAATTAAAACTTTTTCATATCTCAAGAATGAATGGCACATTTTGAAAAACAGGCAATTCTTCAGAACGCTGAGTACAGCATATGATTAGGCAAAATGTTAAGCATATGATCTTATGACCCAGCAATGAAAACACATGTCCATACCATAAATTAAAAAGTGTAAATATCAATTGTATGGGAATGGACATACCAGCACTTTTCTCAGTAGCACAAAGTGGAAACAACTCCCAGACCCATGAACAGATAAACAAGACTCAAAATAAACATATGGAGGAATACTATTCTAAAATATAAATGAAATGGCATTTTAAAACATGCCACAGCAAAAACGAACCACAATAGTGTTATGCTGAGTTTTAAAAAGGCAGGTATTCTATTCATTAGAAACACCAAGTATAGGCAAGTCTGTAGACACAGAGATCATTAGTGGTTAAGAAGAGAGGGGAAGTAGGCAGCTAATGGACATGTAGGTTAAGCATTCTTGAATATAATATAAACTCTTAATTGCATACATTAAACATGTAAATATTGTGATATTTGAATTATGTATCTAAATAAAGCTGCTAAAATGAATCTAGGTTAGACTAGTATAATAGTATATGACTTAGGCCAAGACAAAAGTATTGCAGGTTTTATGTTGGCCTGAGCTACATAGCAAGAACTTGTCTTAGTGGGAAAAAGTATTGAGTAAAAGTAAAAACATTTAAAATCTGAAAAAAAAGTATTTGACAGTACTTGAAGTTTCTTATCCTAGCAATTTTGTTTATAAGGTGGATGTATTTGTATATTTTCATCTAAATATTACTTGGGGAATATCTTTGAAAAGAATAGAAAGATACAACAGCTTTGTTTATGGTCCTGATGAAGCAGAGCATGGGAAATGGCTGGTTGTTGGTTGTGGAGATAGCCTGCATGCTACATCTTCATCTGGTATGAAGTTTCACTCTGCCCTCCCTCCTTGCCAGATGTCCTTTCTCAGCCTGTCCTTGGCAGTATGCCCTTCCCACATGGACATGCAAATCCATTTCCTTTCTTCTAAACATGGCCTAATAACTTCTACTCATCTCCTTTTCCATCCTGTACCTACTGTAGACTGTGCATTTTGCTAGTCATTGGTATTAAAAACGATGAATGCCAGAGTGCTGTGCTTCTTTTTTGAATTGCAAGCCAGTGGTCAGAGTAATAGAGGAAACTATTTTTTTATTCTAAGTGCCTTACTTTGACACTTACACATTTATATTTAAACACCATAGGCCCCCGGGGAAAACATATCTAATTATATTTACTTATTTATTCATTCATTTATTTTGTTTTGTTTTGTTTTTTCAAGATAGGCTTTCTCTGTGTAGCCCTGGCTGTCCTCAAACTCAGAGATCCACCTGACTCTGCCTCCCAAGTACTGGGATGAAATGTGTATGCCAACAAACCTTGCTTATTTTCTTTTTTCCTTTCTAGGTATCCTAGGCAGGCCTCAAACTTGCAAATGACATTAAAAAAGAGAGTAAAGCAGTGATTTGGATTCCATTTCAATCTTGAAATGTTTGATTGAACTATTTCTATGTATTTGTGATTGCTCTTGATTGTAACACCATCAAAAAGGCCCACATATCTTTCGTATCTCATATCACAACAATATTTCTGTTGTAACGTAATTCTATTTCCAAGACAGTGTTTTTCTCTTGGATTTCTTTTTTAATTGAAGATGTCTAGTGGCCCAGTCATAGGGCTGTGCACAGAGATAGGAGAACTTTGAGTTTACACCTTCATCCTTCTAGAGCACACTCTCTTGAGATGCCTTAACTCCACTGTGAAGGTTCAGTCTCTTAGCATCATATTTGGAGAACCTCTCTGCTGGGTCCACAGCCAGATTCCAAGTGGCACAAGCCAAGCATAAATCCAGCTAAGTCATTTTAGCTTTTGGTTTTTCTCACTTCTGAGGTGCCTTGGATTCATTTTCTCTCAGCAACTGATTATGTAAGTCCAAGAACAAGTCTATATGTTGGGAAAGAAAAAAAATAAAGATAAGGGATAACATGTATGAGGACAAGAGAAGCAAGAGAAAATGTGTCTAG